AAAAAAATTAGTGTTTACTCTCTTATGATATTCAAAGTTCAGACTCCCTGACAGCTGACATGTTTCAGTGTTAAAGTACAAAGGTGCTTTTCTTGCTGTCCCTGTTCTGCTTGTATAACAGTGACTCAGCTCTGCAGATCTGGCCCACAGCACATGCTCGTAAGGGCAGTTGCACTGCAGAAGCACTGACAGCAGCTCCATGTTTGTGGGTTAAAGAGAATTATGAAGATGTTTTCCACCTAACAAGCAGGGAACTAAAAGTGGTGGATGGCTAACACCATAGTTGAAGGGGCTGGGGTAGTTAACGCTATACAATTTGTGCAGTAAAAGTGTCAGTGCTTGGGTTCTTTAACATTTAACATTTTGGAGGGGAAGCTTTCTGAGTAGCCTCTTCAGGATCATGCAATCCAAAATGGATCTAAAAAGTATGAGCATAAAATACAGGCCACAAGTATGATGTTTCACTGAGGGAGCTGGGGTTATTTAGTATGGAGAGGAAGAGGCTTCCGGTAGACCTTATTGCTCTCTACAACTCTCTGGAAGGAGGTTGTAGTGAGGCGAGAGTCAATCTCATCTCCAGAATAACTACAGGTAGGACATGAGGAAATGGCCTCAGGTTGCATCAGGGGAGGTTCAGGTCAGACATTAGGAAAGAGTCATCAAGCATTGGAACAGGGTGCCCAGGGAAGCGGTGGAGTCACTGTCCAGTGTTGAAGAAAGGTGTAGATGAGACACTTAGGGACATGGTTGAGCACAATGATGTTGAAGGGTTTATGGTTGGACTCCATCTTGAAGGTCTTTTCCAACTATAATGATTCTATGATCCTGTCATGTCTGGGCCAATAACTGGAGTCTGCAGAGAGTAGCTTTTCCTGTATCTTTTTTTGTTCAATAGGGAACAAGGTTCTATTGAAATATATATTCTCTATTAATAATGATCAAACGTATTCTAGATCTTATTCCTTCTATCTTTTTGTTTTTCAGGGTGTTTTTTTACTACCTTGCTGGAAAACCTACTGCAGAAATGACATGTTAAATCAGCTCAGATGCAGAGACCATGAACAAAGAGACTTCCTTCGCTGCAGTGCAGTTTGGATCAGATCCAAAAGACTCACAGGCAGGCGATAAACAGACTGAGAAGCTGCAGACAAGTCATTTTTAGAATAGTTATTTATTGCAGCTTTCATTGGCATAACATGCAGAAACAAACCCATGTTTCTAGGTTAATAGTGTCTTTAGAAAATAGGTTTTAAGTTTCCTTAAATCAGACCCTATAGAACTGCTAAATGTGGTTTTCTAAACACTTTAAAGCCAAAGGAGATAAACACTGTATATTTGTTTTCTATAAATCTAGTTCTAAGAGCATTTTTCTTCTACAGGAAAGGAATACAGAGCAGATGATTTCATATGTGTTTCAATAACAGTAGTCCCAGCTTGTCTAACAAAAGCCTAAATGGTCACTGTTTTTCTCATTCTCTTTCTGCCAATCTGATTTCTCATTACAATTTTTTAGGCATTCTTGTATATAATCAGTGCTGATATTTTTGAAATATCTCCCACTTGCAAAATTTGTCCTAGCAATGATACGAGTGCTTGCATGATTAGTCACACAGCTGTATTTTTTTTTTCCTCAGGGTCATTTAGACCTGCTCAGAGCAAAGCACCGAAGAATGTTTATAATGGCGGGTCTTAAACCAAAGCTGTTTCCCATGCGTCCTGCAAAGCCAAATTACGCTTTAAACTAACAGGGAGATAAAAGATTATAGCCTAATCTTCTAATTTTAATACAAATCTGGGGATCTATTTGTCTTGATCTTAAGTCTTCAGCTCCTGAAGCTAGCAGCTTATTAAAAACTTTGTTAGTTTAAGGTATTTTTAGCATTAGCCTTAAAATAAACGGAAGAACTCCGAGACTTGACTTTTTTTGGTAAGCTCACGATGTAAAAACAACAATCTCATGGTACTTCAAATGTGACTCATATTGTTGTAACCCTTGAGGCTGGCGGCACAAGGACAAGCAGTAACATGCCACAGCTCTGTCTGTCTTGTGGCTGGAGCTCCAGCAAAGCTTGGGCTTTACTGCAGCGTCTGGGGAGAAGAGTCCACATTAAAAATATTATTTTATCTTTACAATTGCAAATAGGTAAATATAATTACCATGTGTCATACTCAATGAGAAAGACCTAAGGCAGGCATGAGTAATATTTTGATAGGAATATGCATTGTTTTCCCTTTGGGGAGTAGTCCTGCTATAATAAGGGGAAAAGAACTGAACTTTATACACATATTTAAATCCTCTGCCTGGCTGCTTGTCCCAAGTTAAACCTCTGTAGCTAAAGATAAATAGATTGCTTCATTTGACATCGCCCAAGCAGAAATCATATGCTGTTGCTAAGATAGTAACATACACATAAACATACAGTTTGTGTTCCAGGGTGTACAAGTTTATTGGAAACATTTCTTGTGACCCCAGCTTCTCCTCTTCTGAAACTAGGTTGCTCTGTAGTACTGCCCAATGACCTAATTTTGGAAAGGCTCAGCAAGGAATATCGGTTCCCAGCTGCAAACCCCATGCCCTGGCAAATGCTGGAACCACCTGTGCGGTCAGGCGGTCACAGGATCTGGATTTCTGTTTTTCAGATTTGCATTTATTTATATGCAATTCACAGTCAGCTGCATGATCGTTATTATTCATCTAGAACTATATGTATGTTAAATACACATGCTTTGTACAACCACAACAGTTGCCACAACCCTGAAGGACAACTAGATAGATCTCCTTTGTCCGTGCCAAATTCAGATGGAATATTTTCTGAAGAAATTCTGAGGTAAAAGTCAAATTCTGCCATGGATGAAATCACAGGGCCTTTACTTTCAGCTTGGGAGTTGTTCTGTACAGGCAGCATAGGAAAATGAGGTAGAATCTGGCTCATAAACTTTTAGAAAATACCCTTAGTTTGATAATAAGCACATGAGTTAACCCCAGAAAAAGCCAAGAAGGAGGAAAAGGGTGTTTGAGTAAGGAGATCTCTATAGAGATCTGCAAACAAAATTGCTTTGCTCCATACAAGCACATAAATTGTCATTGCCAATTAATAGTTAGGGGAATTAAATGAATCTGATCAGTGGAGGTTGCAAAATGCTAATGACAGCCTATGTGGTGTCATTTGCAGGCTGTGGAGATTAGTTTAATTCTGCCAGACCCTAGAGTTGTGTTCCCAAGGCCTATTTCTTTGTTTAGTAATTTTGACAGTATGGCAACTAAGGAAAATAATGGGGCTTCTTTGCAGGGACTTGACAAATAGAGTCCATAATTATTTTAAAAAATTATTCTGCATTAAATGTGAGTAGGCTGGCCGGGGGAAAACATTTAGCATCTTTGGCACTAGACAAACAAAATGAACTCATTAGAAACACGAAACCAAACCAGCAGTGTAACAAAAACAAATGCAATACCGCTTAAGTATACATTTTGGCCTAAATTGATGTAGACAAATAACATTCTGGAGGTTGGCTATTGCCATGGAATTGCCTCTGAATTTTTCTAGTCAGCATTTTCCTTTCTTCTTATGTTTACATTGTGAATAATTATCGTTTGGGATTTTTTTTTCCTTGTTTTTCCTTTTCACTGTGAATTAAGTGGCCTTCAGAGATGCAAGCCTGGTTATGGGAAAGCAAGCAAATACTTTTAACCAAAGGAAACACACACAAAGTGTAACTTTGTGTTCAACCCTGCTGTTCACATTCTGCTTTGGGGGCAGAGGATTCACCAGCACGCACATTTGGGCTCACTGAAGGCTCCTGCACCAACTTAAGCAGTAAAACCCTTTTGCATTTGGCATACTTCAGATATAACATTGTATAAAACTAGTAGAAAGACAGACTGGGAGGTATAATGATGTTTAATTAGCATAAAAAGCATTTCCACAGCAGCTTTCAGGAGGAAGCTGTTCCCAATCAAAGCTTCCTGCTCGGAAGACAAGTAAACAGCCCTTTGAATCTCCCCTGTCAGCATTTCACCAGAGCTTGTTTTGCAGCCCGGCGTGAGCAGATTAAGCCGCCGGGCTGCTAGGAGCTGTTCAAAGGGCAGCTCAGGAAACAGGCCGCGTGACTGGAGGCTCATTCAGCCTGCACCCACGCTGACGTGTTCCTGAATAATATCATTTCCCAGTTCATCATTTCCCAGTTCGGCTAACTCATTCCCGCTCCTCCTGACCTTTCCTGGCAGCCAGGTACAGCGTTCACCCTATAGACTATTCCAGAGCCCACATATGGCATGCCATGTTTCCCTGAGGGGGGGACATGCTGGTAACTCCATGAGACAACAGAGAGCACACACCAAGGCCAAACCATCCATGTCTGTGATGATCTAAGTAGTGCCTGAGGTTGAAACACGCTCTGAAAGAGGGATCCGAGCCCCATTCCTTTCAGCATTGCAGCGCTACCCTTCTCTCTCCCCCCCCCCCCATCCCTGAGGCCCTACAGAGCCAGCGCGCATGCGCACACCCCTTCCTGCCCGGAAAAATCTGCCCGCTCAAAGCGGCCCACCCTAGCAACAAGGCTTACCTCACCGCGGACCAATCAGCGCCCAGCAGCGGCCGAATCTTCCAGAGTTTTCCTCAGAGCTCCTTCTCCCTCCTCCTCCCACTCCCCTCCCCGATCAACCAATCAATGCCCGCTTTTCCGTATTCTGCACCAATCAGCTCCGAGTGTCTACAGAATCCCGCCTACTACCAGCAATCTTTCTGTGTTTCTAACCGCCTTCTCACCGAACCTCGAAATTCTTCCGCGACCTCAGAAATTTCTCTATTTTGGGGGGGTCTTAGTTCTCACACGGAAGATCCAGGACCCCCTTTTCCCTTTGGAGTGAGAACAGAGTGGTCCAGAGACGAGTATTTTCCTCGGCGGTAGTCTTTTTCTTGGTACTACTTTGAGTGGCGGAAGGACACGTCACTTTAGAGGAGGCGGGGCGACTCTGAGGTAAAGCGTATATATAGGGGTGAGTGTGCGTCACGCAGCTACAAAAGAGCTGCATAAAAGAATCGTCGCGTCGCAGGCGGAAAAAGTCCCAGGGCCGGAGACGTGAGTCGAGTGGTGGGAAGGCGTGGGGGGGGACTGGAAGTGAATCGATACACTTCTTTCTTTTTTTTTCCCCTCTCATTATTCTTGCCTTCCTCCCTGGAGAGGATAGGCGGTTGAAAATAGGAATAGATATTTGTAGGCTGAGTGTTTTTGTTCGGTGTAGCGATCTGTATAGAGTCTTAGCTTTGTCTGGAAGCGAACAGAGGCCTGGAGAGTGGTGGGGGGGAAAAGGGGAGGGGGTAAATAAGTAGGCACGAGAGGAGCAGTGGAGTGAAATATTGAAGGTGATCGTCATTTTCTTAGCCAGAAATAAGTGCTGAGTCATAGGCTTGAGGGGAATGGGGCAGCGCCGTTGTTGTGAGGCGCCTCCATGAGGCTCTGCCGCAGCTGCCGAGGCGGGTGGTGGCGCGTTGTGAAGCTGTAGCGCTGCAGGGAATGGGAGGGGTTGGGAACGACAGTATTGAGGAGCTGGTGATCCGCAGGGAGGCGTTGTGAGAGAGAGCAGGAGCTTGTTCTCAGAAGTATTCTTACAAAGGGATGAACATGGTAGCTTGAGCACGATGAAGAATAAGTTGAGAGAAGAGAGAAAACATCTGTAGAAATTACTACAGTTTTTAGTGTTCCTAATACTCTTCGAGGTAGCAAAAAACCTTTCACTACTTGATATGAAAGGCCTATGTGATTATTTAGTAAGTTAATTGAAGCTGAACATTTCCTGTGTTTTGCAGTTCAACATGCAGATCTTTGTGAAGACCCTGACTGGCAAGACCATCACTCTTGAGGTCGAGCCTAGCGACACTATTGAAAATGTGAAGGCCAAGATTCAGGACAAGGAAGGCATCCCCCCAGATCAGCAGAGGCTGATCTTTGCTGGCAAGCAGCTGGAAGATGGGCGCACCCTGTCTGACTACAACATCCA